ACATGGTGCAGCAAATGCCTCCTCAAGGGGGGTCGCGCAAGATCTCGTTCAACGTTTCCGACCAGTATGAGATCCAGGATGTTATTGGTGAGGGAGCTTACGGTGTCGTTTGGTGAGTTGCTCACATATAACTGATGGCGGCGTACTAATGAACCGAAGCTCTGCTATTCACAAGCCCTCTGGCCAGAAGGTCGCCATCAAGAAGATCACTCCCTTCGACCACTCGATGTTCTGCTTGCGGACTCTGCGTGAGATGAAGCTTCTGCGCTACTTCAACCATGAGAACATCATCTCCATTCTGGATATCCAGAGGCCTCGGAATTATGAGAGCTTCAACGAGGTGTATCTGATTCAGGTACGCTCATTGCAGAGCCTAGACAAGATGAAACTGACGGATCTAGGAACTGATGGAAACGGATATGCACCGGGTCATTCGTACCCAGGACCTCTCCGATGACCACTGCCAATACTTCATCTACCAGACTTTGCGTGCGCTCAAGGCCATGCACTCCGCCAATGTTCTCCACCGTGATCTCAAGCCCTCCAACCTTCTCCTCAACGCAAACTGCGACCTGAAAGTCTGTGACTTTGGTCTGGCCCGGTCAGCCGCATCGACCGACGACAACTCTGGATTCATGACGGAATATGTCGCGACGCGTTGGTACCGTGCCCCGGAGATTATGTTGACGTTCAAGGAATACACCAAGGCGATCGATGTCTGGAGTGTCGGCTGTATTCTGGCAGAAATGCTGAGTGGAAAGCCGCTGTTCCCCGGAAAGGACTACCACCACCAACTGACTCTGATTCTTGATGTCCTCGGCACACCGACCATGGAGGACTACTACGGCATCAAGTCTCGCCGGGCTCGGGAGTACATTCGCTCATTGCCCTTCAAGAAGAAGATCCCCTTCCGCGCAATGTTCCCCAAGAGCAACGAGTTGGCGCTTGATCTTCTGGAGAAGCTGCTGGCGTTCAACCCTGCGAAGCGTATCACTGTCGAGGAGGCGTTGCGTCATCCGTACCTCGAGCCCTACCATGACCCTGATGACGAGCCGACGGCGCCTCCGATCCCCGAAGGCTTCTTTGATTTCGACAAGAACAAGGATGCACTCAGCAAGGAGCAATTGAAGCGTGAGTAATGCCGCCTACATCGAAGATTCTAATTACTAACGTAGCGCAGTCCTGATCTACGAGGAGATTATGCGGTAAAGGCTTCACAAGTCGATGAATGCAATTGATATACCACCCGACACGGAACAAAGGCAGAGCCTGACATGATGGACGGAGTTGGCTTAGCACATACCCATGATGCATAGAGAACAGGCCGCAGCAGCGCGTGCCCTGTACGCAGTAATATGTCGAATAGCCCATATGTGAGGGAGTCATGACTGCAGCATCTCGAGATTATTGTTGATGTTGATGTGGAAGCGGCGTGCAGTTTCAGCGATAGTCCAGCTTGAATATACATTACGTTAGCGATTGATATAGAGTGATAATAACTTCTTAAGCTAAGGGTATATACACATCAAAGGTATCTTACACCACCAACACCAACCAACCCCCAATACTCTAAGAAGAAGTCTTCATCTCCCTCATAAACCTCTCAATCCCCTCCCCCACCCCCTCAGGACTGGGCTTCTCCGCACAAACATCCGCCTCAAACCCAAACTCTCTCCTCAAATAATCCCTCGTCGTCGGCCCAATCGTCGCAACAAAGAACCTCCTCCTCCTCTCCCCATCCACCTTCCCCCAACCACAACCATCCTTATCATCCAAATACCCCAACCCCCTCAACATCCCCTCACACCCCGTCGGCGAAAACACCACCGTCCACACCACCCTCCCTTTCCCCTCCTCAGTAGTAGTATTATTCTTCATAACCGCTTTCTCCCGCTCCACAACCCCTCTAAAACTCTCCTCAAACCCCTCCATCACCCCCGTCTCATACACAACCACCTCATCAACACCAACACCCTCCCCGGGAGGGAGATCGGGGTTCATCAGTGTCCGCGGGATAATATCCCGTCGTTGTTCGCCGACGAGGAAAAGTAACGGTGGTTTGTGCTTGTTGTATACATCATCTTCCCCATTGGGATTTGATGACGTCGTGGTGGTGGTAGTAGTATAAAGCGAGTTATAGTGTTCGAGAATATACTTCGCTAACGCCTCTCCATTCCCTGTATCCGCGCCGTGGATGCTCGCGTGCGGAAGGTATTTTTGTACGATGGTGGTGAGGGAGCGGGATGTTGCCGGTCCGACGGTGTAGATGGGGAGGTTTTGCGAGGAGGTGACTAATGTGTTTAGTGCTGAGATGTCTGTTTCTCATTTAATCGTTTTTTGTTAGTGGTTATGTGGTGGTGATGGCGTTGTGGTGATGGTGGGGTGAATTACCATTGTCAAGTTCAGCAAGTACTCTCCCGAAGCCTTCGACTGCGCGCTGGCTGGTGAAGATTAAGCCGCCGTATTTTCGGTCATTCTTCTGAGAAGGGAGTAATTGGCCGGATGTGAAGAGCTCGCGGATGGAGCGTAGTCTCTCGGTGTGGAAGTTGTGTGAGAGGACTGGGATGAAGGTGGGTGTGTAGTTGCTGGTGGGGTGGTGGAAGTAGTCGGAGTAGTTGTCGTGCGGGGTGGATTTGGTTTTGAGGAGGATTATCGGGGGTTTGTTGGTGTTTTCTGGGGAGGGCATTGTGATGATTTGTATTCAATTGGGGGTGTGGTAGTGTGGTTGTGGTTGTGGACGAGGATGAGTGAGGGTTGTTGTTGTGGTGAAGTGGGATGGACGGATGCGGAGATGCCGCGGCTATTCTTCTACTGAGTAATACAACTACACTGTGACGGAACAAACGAAATTTGGGTCTAGTAGGTTATGTACACTAAAAAAACAGACTACTGGTCGTCCAGAACGTGCAGGTACTTCTTCTCCTCCTGTCTCTCGCGCTCCGTGGCCGGAGGGAGATCGTAGTACGAGGCGCTACGGTAGCCCAGCTGCACATTGTTAGTTTCCGAGAGGATTGATTCACTTGAGGGTCACTTACCAGGTAGTGGAAGGTCAGGGTGCTGAGGTCGACAGGCTCAATGTCGAGATCCTTGAACGTCTTGGCGTTGGGGTCGATCACCTGGTCGATGAACTCACGCTCCACCTCGTCGGCGGAGATGGTGGGCCACCAAAGGTACTTGTTCAGGTAGTAAGCCAGGGGCTTGAGGATGGCCTTTGGCACGTTGACGTGACGGCGGTGCTTGACGATTTCGCGGTCGACCAGCTCGGCAATCTCGGCGGTGGAGTAGTTCTTGGGACCGTACAGCTCGAAGGTCTGACCGACGGTGCTGTCGTCGTGCAGCATGCGCTCCAGAGCAGTACCGACATCAATGGCCTACGTATGTCAGCTCAATCCTAACAAGGTCAACATCTTAACATACGTGAACGGGCCAGTAGCGCTCCTGCATGTGGTTCGATGTGAGGAGGTTGGTCACTCGAGCGAGCTTGTGGAGGAGGTTGTCCTCGAAACCGAACATGGGCGCAGGGCGGACAATGGTGGTCTCGGGGTAGATGTTGCGGACGATCTCCTCACCCCAGGCCTGCGACAATCAGTATAAAAGTAACTATGGCGGATCGATCCACGGACCTTGGTCGCAAAGTACTCGGAAGGAGAGTCCCGGCTGGCGTTGTAGGAAGAGACGTGGATGAAGCGGTCAACGTCGTACTTGGCAACAGCCTCAACGATGCGCTCCGTACCGTCGACGTGAACGTCAGTGTAGGAGAAGTTCCTGCCCAATTATTAGCCGCGCGTCGCTTGTCCTGTGCCCATGAATCACTGACTTGGTGGGATATTGACGACCGACAAGGTTGTAGACAACATCGGAATGGCGCACAGCCTCCTCAATGGACTGGGTGTTGCGCAAATCGTATTCCTAGACCACGATTAGTGGGCCAATCAAAACCACCCAAATTCTGACGGATCATACAATGAAGTTGACACGGCCAAGGTCACCAGTGACCTTCAAGTGTCTCTTCGTCATCTCCTCACGGTAGGGGACGACAACGGTGCATCCCTGCGTAGCTGGAAGGCGTCAATTCCTATGCTCCCTTCCGACCAATTAACCAACATACCGAGCTTGTTGACGATGTAACGACCGAGGAAACCAGTAGCACCGAAGACGGTCGCGGTGTGTCCTAAAGTAGAGCAATTTTAGCCATCTGGTAGCGTGAGACCGGCGCGGCAGAAGAGGGATATGTACCTCCCAAAGAGGACCTGTAGCAAAGTCTAGTCAGCATCGCGGAGCTTCATCACAACGGCAATGCGCCTTACCGGCCACCCTGGACCTTCAGAATCGGCTTTCCAGTTCTAGTGATCGCGACATCCTGAAGATTCCGGCGCTGGATCTGGAATCGGATCTTGGGAGCGGGGACAAATGCCCTGGCGCCCATGGCGGAATTGACGGCCCGGGACGTCTGCATGGTCTCAATTCTGGATATGAAACGGACGAGACCACCGAACTGCGTCCGGATCGGTGTTTCAATGGACAATGGTGAGGAGAGGGGAGAGAGCGTAGCTCGACGTCAGGACTTGTACTGCAGCTGGTCGAAAGTCGTGGTCCCGAATATCCTGGAGTTGGCACGGGACTTGGCGCTAGTCCTTTTTCGGACAGCACCCTCGACCTTTCAATTGTCTGCCAATTCTTTTCTACCTGTCCGTCAGACAATTAAGTGAATAATCAAGTATCTAGAAGAATGAATCTTTCAGCCAGCAGAATCTACATACATATCTAGCTATGGAGGCGTGGTTATGGCCATCACTGCATTTCACACCGGAGCGCGTCTGACTATTCGAAGCCTCTGATTGGTTGCTAGGCGCTCATCATCGTCATGTCGAGATCCAAATGAACCTACCACTAACAACCATGAACTACAAAGTCAATTGCTGCAGAAACTGTGGACTATGGACATTGAATTGCTGCTGAATGAACGCGACGCTTGTCATATCGCATTTCTAAGCCAATCACCAAAGCATGAGCATGCTATTCCATCGGGATCACCCACGCTGCCCACGAGCAATAAATATGGTCTTCAAATGCTCTTTCCCGTCCTTGCGGAATACAACCTGCTCCTTCGAAATATCATATTTGAAGCCCGTCCCAAATCCTGCTTCTTCGTACAGCTGCTTCATTTGATCCATGGTGAAGCCGTGGCTTTTCACCGTATGCGCAGCATCGCCAAAGCCATGCTCAACATTGTGACAATGGCCATGGTGGTGATCGTCCGGCACAATGTCGACAGTTACGCACACACCACCTTTCTTCAGGCGCTCTCCAAAGCGGGCCATGGCTAATTCTGGTCTCTCGAAGTGGTGGAGGGCCATGCTGACAACCACGAGATCAAAGTCAAAGTACTCGGGCCCTGAGAGCTCTGCCGGAGCAGACTCAGCCAGAAGGTCACCCTTGAGTGCGACCATCTTATCACCATAGCCAGCTTCTTGGGCATTCTTGTTGTACTCGCTAATCATATTATCCGAAACGTCGAGTCCAACGATCTTCGAGACAAAAGGTGCCAATGTCTATGAAATTAGCTCGCGGTTTATGACAGTGCTAGTTCAACAGCAACTCGAACAAGACATAATGACTTACCAAAGAAACAGGTCCAGGCCCACATGCATACTCTAACATCTTGATCTCTCTTCCCTTTCCAGCCTCCGTGTTGGTCCATGCATCACTGATCCAAGGACGGTGACTATCCACCAGTCCGCAAATGGATTCCAGAATACTTCTGAAGTCGCTGGTGTAGGACTTGGCCAGCATGCTATAAAGTATGAGACAACATTATCAAGCAAAAGAAAGGTAGTGTGCACATACTCAAAGTACTGACGGTTCCTCTCTGTGTGCTCTGCCATTTTAGACAACTAGAGACACAGCTTGGGTATCACGGTATAGAAATTTATGGATGGATTAATTGATCAACTGCTATTGGAAAAATATCCTGGAATGACTACGAGAAAGGTGGAAGACGGGTGTAGAAAGCCATATTTATAGCTTGCTTGACCATGGCTGAGTAGATTAACTAGAAGCTTACAGTAGGCAGGTTCGGAGACATATCGGATACTTCTTGAAGACCCTCCAATGTCGCCGCCAAGTTGATCCCTAGAGCGGATTAGGCAACTCCATCTGATACGCTCACAGAAGGACCAGCAATTTCTGTCCAATGAACGAATGAATGGATGGATACGCTAGTTCTCACCCTAAATGAAGCCGGAGAAGTTGCGATAAGTATACTGCAGTAGACGGAAGATGATGTAGGATGTCATGTGCCTCACCGCCCGAGCTCGACGGCGCTGCATCACGACCAGCTCCGCTTCCACTTCAGATCAGCTTCCCTGCCTCCATCTCCCCCCATTACGTCCATTCTCCTTCTCCCTCCTTCCGGTCTCTCATCCATCTCATTCTAGACCTCATACCGTATTTCCTAATCCTCCTCCAACATGGAGAACCAACGGATCTCCGATTTCCTCGCCGACCAGCTGCAGCAAGCTCCCGAGCAATGCCAGGCCTATTTCCTGAGCTTCGAAGATTACTGGGAACGCAAACTATGGCATCAGCTTACGGATTCCTTGATTGAATTCTTCCGTCTACCAGAGAGCGCTGCTCAGCGACTACCGATATTCAAGAGTTTCGTCCTCAGCTTCGCCGACAGAATCAATCAGCTCAAGTTCGTCTCGCTGGGGTTGATGGCGTCAACAGAATGCTCAAGTTCGTATTCCAGCTAATCGCTATTTGGATCTTCGCAACCCAAAGGCATCGCTAACACTATTGCCACCAGATGACCAAGAACGCCTTACCTTCCTCACATCGCTGGCAGACAAAGTCAACAAGCCCGAGTCACAAGATGCTTACATCTACGCCCTCGCGGACGTCGCCAACGTCAAGCAACGGCTACAAGACCTGAACGGTGCGCAGAAGGACCTGGAGACATGCCAGAAAGTGCTGGACACGTTCGACTCCGTTGAGACAGTGGTGCACGCATCCTTCTACAAAGTCAACGCGGACTACTACCACGTATGTCCCCCCGCACCCGCCACCTAGACCTCACTAATCCTTCTCTCCCATCCACAGGCCAAACAAGAATTCGCCTCCTTCTACAAGAACGCCCTCCTCTACCTCGCGTGCATCAACCTCGAGGATCTCAGCGAAGCCGAGCGCATCTCCCGCGCATACAACCTTAGCGTGGCCGCGCTCGTCTCCGACACCATCTACAACTTCGGTGAACTCCTCCTGCACCCGATCCTGGACTCCCTCACCGAGACGCCGCACAGCTGGCTGCGCGAGCTCCTGTTCGCCTTCAACCGCGGCGACCTGACCGCCTACGACGTTCTCGCCGGAAACATCTCCAAGAACCAGTTGCTCGAGCAGCACCGCATTTTCCTGTACCAGAAGATCTCCCTGTCGGCGCTGACGGAAATGGTCTTCCGTCGGCCCCCGCACGACCGCAACCTGACTTTCTCGTCCATCTCCGCCGAAACGAAGGTCAAGCCCCAGGAGATCGAGCATCTGATCATGAAGGCCTTGTCGCTGGGTCTGCTCAAGGGTGCCATTGATCAGGTGGCGCAAGTCGCCCAGATCAACTGGGTGCAACCGAAGGTTCTGGATATGAAGCAGATCGAGGGCATGCGGAACCGTCTGAAGGATTGGGATGCTGGTGTCAACCAGCTGGGTCACTGGATCGAGGGCGTTGGAAAGGATGTGTGGGCTGCATAAGCCCCCATTTTTCTATCTCTTTTATATCGTCTTCTTTTCCTTATGATTAGTCCTGTCTGATGGGTAAAAGAGTTACCATGCATGTATGTACGAACAAGTACTAGAACCTCATTATAATTGAGATCTACGAAGCCCTCTCTAGCTCTCTTTACAATCACATCCACAATAACACCTGATATTTAATATTATTCGTTTTAACCTATACATACATAAATGCATGCCTATTATGATACAAAAGCGGAAAAAGAAACAACGAACTATTGATCTATCTATCCTTGCCTCCACCTAAGTAAGACTTCTTCTACCCATAAGTCATGTTATGATGCCCCTGATCCGACCCCCTAAACATATACTTAACTTATTCTCATTCAATCAGGATGAGAACAGAGAGAACCCCACCAACGCACACCCGGCCACCCAAGCAGGCCACCAAACACACCAAACAACGACCTGCGTCCATACGCCCCAGACATCCCACCCGAAAGCGGCCTGCGTCAAGACCGTCTCGACATCAGCGCCGAAGTACCAGCACGCTGCGAGCAGGACGACAGGCGGGGAAAGCACATTCAATAGCGCGAGAGCGAGCGTACTGAGGATGTATCTGAGGGGCCGGGAGGTAGTTTGCGGGTTGATGCGGTGGATGAAGCTTAGCGGGGCGCAGAGGAGACCGACCATGAAGGAGAGGGAGAAGTTGAGGGTTGCGAGGGTGGAGAGGAAGAGGCCTAGGATGAGGAGGGAGAAGGATTTGATGAGGTGGTATTGTTGTGGGTGGGGGGTTAGGGTGTAGGATAGGGTGGCGGAGAGGAGGAGGGGGAGGACGAAGTTGGCGAGGATGCTGGTGTAGGTTGCTGTTTCATAGAACTGCGTTGGTTGTTAGGGAGGAGTTTGGGTTGTTATAGGGAAGGGGGGGGGAGGGGATACGGACCTGGTGGGGGATGTTGTTGAAGATGTAGAGGGGGATTAGACCCAGGAGATGGAGGCTGACGACAAGAGTGAGTGGGAGGGCCAGCTGGCGTTCTATGATGTTGCTACTGGCGTCTGCTTTCACAGGTGGCGCTTGTTTGTCGTCGTGCTTCTCTGTGGTTGTGGTTGAGACTTGTTCTTTCGTGGGCTTCGAGGCTTGTTGCGAGCCAGGGTAGTAGCCTGTCCGGAGCCAGAGAGCGATTGCCATAATGGTGAAGTTACCGGCAATCAACATCGCGCTGGGGAGGTATGTGCCGATGCTGACGAACCGGTTGGTCTGCATGAGAAGATAGAAGAAGAAACTCTGGTGCAGATGCTCGAGGAGGTTGTTCAAGCTGCGGCAGAGACTCTCAACTGTGCGGCCCAGCGCCATCTCATCCTGCCAGCCTTCGCCCTTCGTCTGGAGGGTGATAGCATCAATGTGATACGGCATGAAACTGCTGTGAGGACCGGTGGCATAGCCAAAGCCCTGCTTGACCATTCCTCTCATAATGGTCTGCAACCGCATCTCGTAACTATCATCGTGATCCCACATCTCCTGCAGATTGGTCCCGATGCCCATCTGCCCACCGGTAATGGATATAGCCGTGTTAAACAGATCTAGGTTAGGCAACTGGCCATTAACACCGTCGTAGAGGATATGCAGAGACTCGAAGCGATGGTCAAACGGGTATTCGATCACCAAGCCTCCCTGCAAAGCACCACTCTTCAAGGGAAGAGGCTGCACAAACGCCGGCTGCATATCATGGTATGCGTCAATCCACGCCTGAGTGCCTGCCTTGCTATCCGGAGGGAACAAGAAAATGATATCCTTCGACCACAGCGACCACCCTGTTCTCCGTCCAATTAGCAAACCATACCACATCCCATAACGACGAAGGAAGCCACCCACGTTTGAAATATCTCGCCAGCGTCAGCGCAAGCGTAACACCATTCAAATTCAGCTCATCCTCCACGGTCTTCCAAGCCGCCACGAGCACAATAGCTTCGGTGGCATCTCCTCGCGGCGCCTGAATAATCGCGTACACATTCTGTCCCTGATGCGTGATCCCTGACGACGTGTATTCGTAGTTCTGCGTGGCGACTTTCAAACCGGTTGCTTTCAAGATTGATTGAATCTTATCTGACACACTAAGCAGAATTACATGTCCCGTCAGCAACGCAATCCCAGTTATTCAAATTGTAAGTGGTGCGGAGCTCCAGCAACATACGCAGGAGTAAAGGCATCATTCCACGCTTCCTGTCCCTCAGCAGTCTGCTCTTGAAGTACCCCCTCTAGCTCCTTCTTGTATCCGCGGAAGATGTGTTGCTCGCTACCGGAGAAATAGGCGTGAACTTGACCCGGCAGGAGCGCGTTCTCGGAGATGTAGGTCTGTCGGGAGTAATCGTTGAGGGGGAGTAGGAGGAGCCAGACAACGCCGGCAACGATGCAAATGAAGGAAAGGATGTGCGGTAGGTGCACGAAGAGGAAGTGAGGGTTACTCCGCACTTTGCGGATCGCAGCTGTTATGAATACCTGTCAGCGTGGTCTGGTCTCGTTTGAGGTGTCCTTCGCGACAATCCGGGGTAAGGTGGAGGGTGAGTAGCATGGAGCTGTAGGGAGGACAAGGCAAAGAAAAAGGGCAACGATTATTGGAGATAGAGTGTTAGAGTGGAAATTAATATGTATCTTACATTTCAAGGCCATGAGATCTGAAGCATTAGGGAACCAAATCCCATGGTGATGGTGGTGCTTGATCGGAGCAAGATGTCTACCGCCGCTACGGAGCACTAATCGATCTGCCCGCAAATTTACGTCAACCGCTATAGACCACCTGCACAACTACCCCTAGATTCAGTATTATTTGCTTTCCCCGCAATATTGCGAGTCACTATTGAATGCCGTATAATGCTAATTAAATATGCACAAGAATGTATCCGCTTAGGTATAGCGTTAGTTCTTAGTCCTCACGGACCAAGGCGTTGCGATGAGCCGAGGAAGCTCATCGGGGTTCCCCTTTCTCCGCCGGTGGTAGTCGTAGGAAGAACACCATAACGGCCGTACGTCTTCTGATCCACTGACACGTAGTGTGGCAGTCTTCCAAGCAGATTGAGTTTGCCCTCAATCCATCTCAGAACCTTCTCCGGGGGAACGAAAATCTTGAGGACCCCAAGGCCGACTGTCGAGCGGATTAGCTGCGAACCGAGGTCTACTGAAGAACAACTACTTACGCAAGTATCCAACCAGGATAGCGCATAAATGGCCAAGGAAGCTGGTGTTTGGCACAAGAATCGAGACAAGAGCGCATGCGAACAGGGGCGACGTCCACGTGGGAATCTTGGTCGACCCGAGACTGAAGCCGCATTAGTCGGGAATTGAGTCAGAGTTTAGTGCTCGAACATACCTAAAGTAGGGGTTTGATTTGAAGGTCCGAATGGCCTCGGAGCCCAGGAGAAGGAAGACCCAGATACTGGACACTCATTAGAGACTATCTCACAACCCGGAGATGCTACAGCGCACTCACCTTGAACCCACGACCGCGGTATTCCTATGCAGAACAAACTTCTCGATCAAAATATAAATGCCTGCAGGGAGCGTAGAAAGAGCTAAACGAGAAGTAAACATCCATTAGCACATTCGTCCACTCATCCTAAAGCACACCATGAAGCAACTTACGCCCAATAAACAGTGCAACAGCGGTCAATGTGCCATGCTCGGCCTCGAAGCGCTCCAACAAGGGTGTGAGCGCCAGTATATTCAAGAAGGCATGGAAGAACCCCAAGTGGATAAAAGGGTAGGTGTTAAGACGGTACACTGTCCTAAGAGTCAGAACCTGGCTGTACTTGCAAGCAAGGCCACGTGTGCCCGAAGAGACATACTAGTGCCGAATCCAACCTCCTCTGGTATCACGGAGCCCCATTGTACCACACTCCAGATTGTCTGAAGCTCCAGCAGCCAGAATACAATAATCGCTAGAAGCACGAGCCGGGTGAAAAGCGGTAGGCGGAGGACGTAAGATCGTACCCTGGACGGGTTGAAGGGTAGCGGCGGAAGGGCGGCGGGAGTGGCCATGGTCGAAGGCGAATGGCCGTAGCAAGGCGATATGTCAAGGCAAGTTTATTACAACGATAGATGAAGGTCGATAGTGTCGCAGGCGAAATATGTCAATGAAGGCGCCGTGGAAGTCGAGGTGCGATGTACAACACGGGACTGGCGGAGTCTAGGGAGCGATGGAATGGCCACGAGGGCTTGAGAATGTCTCGTAGGGTCGGGAGGAAGGAGCGGAACCGAGTTGGACAATGCGAGAGATGGTATTTCTGATGGCTTTGATGAGAGACTTATAGACTTTTAATCATTGGCAATGACTCGGTTTGAAGCCACGGGATGCAATGCACGCAAACTCCGGTATACGCGACGGGAATTGAGCCAAGATGAAACAAGCCAACGGATAGAACTCAAGCAGTGCAGAAAATTAGCGGGAAACAATGAGTCAAAGGATAAGGCCAGACAGCCCCAGGGAAGAGAGCAGAGGCACTACTTTAGTGCTTTCCGGGGGTGGCTGGATCTGGTTGCTTCTAAATTGAAGGCTGATCTGGTCTCGCCTTTTCTCTTCCCAGCGCGGATCCTCCGGGGTCACGTGGAAGATAACGCTTATCGTTCCTTTATTATTTATAGAGTAACTACCTTCGTCGCTTACTTCTCTCTACAATATTTTCTTTCGCTTTAATAATTACCGAAATTATCATGCCTCATGCCGGTTCATTATCTAACTAATGGTAACATGTACAGAAGATGCCGCTAATTCTACCTCAAACATTTACAGGTACTGCTTGAACCAGTTGACGGCCTGGCAGAAAGCCTGCTCCTTGGACCACTTGAAGTGGGGGACGCTCAAGTCAGCGCGGACAGCGAAGCCGTGGGAGACACCGCTGTACAGGTTGATCTGCCAGGGCTTGCCAGTCTTGATGAGGGTCTCCTCAGACTCGTGACGGAGCTGGGTGGTGAAGATGTTGTCGATTTCTGTTTGAACCAAGTCAGCATGCGCGGCCTCACACGCCTTGCGATGAAGGATTCCACTTACGAGCAGCAGCAATGGACAGAGGGCCCTGGATGGCGCCGAGCTCCTCGTGGGTGACAAAAGAGGGGTGGGCGTTGAAACCAACGTCGACCTGGCCGTCCTTCATGAAGCGGCAGACGTACTGGAAACACGCCTCGTTAGCAAACGATCACAAAATACCTTTCAGAGAGTCGATTTCAACTCACCTTGGCACCGAAGCAGTAACCGACAGCGCCGATGCGCTTAACGCCCAAGTCTCCCTTGATGTACTTGATGGTCGACTCGACGATAGGGTCGACGTTGGCGGTCTGGTGGTTGGGGAACCAAGCGCCAATGTCAAACTTGCCGGACTCCATGGCGACGGGGTCGACGGAATCGCCGTTGAAAAGGTCGGGAAGGACACACAGGTATCCATTGTTGGCGAACTCATCGGCGAGGAGCTTAGCGTTGTTGAAGAGACCGAAGATGTCGCTCAGGAAGAGGACAGCCTTCTCGGGGGCCTTGTTGTCCTTGGGGTAGACAATGTAGGTGTCGACTGTTCGGGAAAAATGGTGTTAGAAGGGGGTCATGGTTCGAGAAAGATCCAGTCGGATAACATACTGTTGTTGATCTTCTTGACTTCACCGACAGGGGTGCCTTCGTGCTTGAAGCCCTGGGCACAGCAAGCTCCGGGAGGGTTAGAGGCCATGGTGACGGGTGGTTAGGGTTGGTGTATTGAAGGGATGTATAGACAAAAGGTATATGGGATAGTTCTAGTGACAAGGATGTCAAGGGTGGGAATGGCGACTAGATATATCCACAGGGCTTTGCCTCAAATGAGCAGCATCCACTGTGAACCGTCTTCTTTCCCCAAAAATGCCCCTCCCCACTTGCTGCCCCTCACCCCATTACTAATGTCTGAATGACACGGTAGGATGTCCGACACCGCCCAATCAAATAGCTAGACATAATATTCAATTGCGCATGAGCCTATGTTACAGCCATTCAAGCAAAGGATGTCAAGTCGGCTACCAATAATATCCATCGTGGAGGTTATCAGAATTCGCCGGGTGGCGGTTCGTGTACCTTGAAAACGCCCCCCGAGAGTCTGCCGACCGGCAATTCTCGCCGACGTCGGGCGTCACGCTTTTTGGTTAAGCTTCGTCAGGCGGCTCGGATTTTAGCGAGTTTTAACCCCGGGATCTACCTCCACCGTCTGTTCAAGTGTGAAGAAGGGATCTGCACCTAGAGGATTCAGGGGAATTAACTGGGGCATTATAGCTTAGTCTTAGACAAAGTTCTGGGTACGATAGAGGTAAGAGTAAATGTAGATAGTCCATATACAATGGTATATTGTGGTTTCATTATGTCGGTAGAACTAGGAAAGTCATAAATCACCTCCTCATTATCCTTCCATCACAGGGATATCATTCATTAACACGGGGGCACATCAGAGATAAATAGGGTCATAGACAAGGCCGTGGTATATATGGTCGTATTATGATCGTCACCCGAATGTCCGAGCCGTGACACCAGGCCGAAGAAAATCAAATGTTGTAAGGGGTATAATGCTGTCAAAAGCAGATGGTGTCTTTTTTTGGGGGAGTTTGTTCGTTTTGCGTGTCTGTCCCGTGTCGTCACCAAACTCGTCTCGAGTCAGATGGAGTCCGGCAGAACGGAAGACATGAATAAAATCAGGCGGAGGCCGGGAACTGGAAAGGCGGCAGCGCAGGGCGCGACTCCCGCTTCACCGCCCAGGCCTTCAGGGCAATGGAGAGAATTTCGCACGACATGATGAAGGCGGTCAGTCCCATAGTAACTGTGAACACAAACATCGCGTCGAGGTCATAGTACTCCAGGGTTTGGATCACGCTCCGGGTCTATCCTAAGAGTTAGCCAACATGTCCTGTGGACGCATTGCGGTTGCTTTGCTGAACTTACACTAAGCATGAAGACCAAACCACCCGAAATCAAGCAGAAAGCAGCGACGATCTCGGTTGGCGGGCGAGATGGAAGGTAGGAGGTCGGGGGCTTGAGGTACATGATGACATAGGTCATACCACGAGCCAGTGCAAAGCCGACCAGGAGGTTACCCCACTGCTTGTGCACCATGGTCGATACCATACTATCCTGGTGGTGCGAACCCATCATCATACCCAACAGAAGGATGACCAGCGCAGGCATGGGGTTCAGTGATACGCCCTGGGTGTCAGGAAGCTGCCATGCGGTATCTGTCGACGTGTGCGCACTCATATGAGAGGGGTATTGGAGAACCGTGCTATTCAACCAGCCCTTGACGCGCTTCGACTCAAAAAGCATACCACAGAGACCGCCACCGAAGAACATGATGGAGATGGACACATGCTCAAGATCAGTGGCAGTCCATGCGCCACCCCAACTAGTGAGATGCTCCAAGAAAACGTTGGTGACGCCGTAGAGGAAGATCACAAACGATTCAGTGAATTCACCCGTGGGGATCTTGGCCTTCCATTTACCGACAATGGGACTGGACGGCTTCACATTCCAGGCCCAACCCAGGTCGGCCCAGCAGCCGAGCATACGTCCCAGAGTCAGAAGGCCATACCAGAAAAAGATACCTCCTTTGATAAAGTGGGCAAGACCATTGAAGACCTCCTTGCCTCTCTGCAAAGGCGCGTTAGCGAAGATCAACGAAGTGGCTTATACTAGAAACTTACCATAAGACCACCATAAGTCACACCACCGGTCGCGATAGCCACGAAGCCAAACGGCAAGATAATTCTGTCGATAACAGCATAGATGATCGAGATAATGCGAAGCGCCCGAGTAGAGACCATACGAGGCACACGACTGGCAAGGAATCGGTCGGCGAAGGGGATGCGGAACCAACCGCGCGGTTGGGACGAGTGTTCGGGGAGCGGATCCTCGGGCTTTTCGAAACCGTCATACTCACCCGAAGGCGAGGCACAAGAAGGCGACCCAGGGCGACTGTGGAGGGAAGAGGAGTTTCTCTCCGTGCCCTGTCCACTGTCGCGCGACCAGCGGTACGAATGGCGGATACCAGAGTACATCTGGGGGCTCTCCATCTCATCGGTAGAAACGGGAAGAAACGCTGCCCGTTCATAAGAAGTCGACTCCGACTCGCCTCTGCCAGCATAGGCAAAGATCAATGACATGATGACCTGCGCGCTCATGACCCAGGTTGCGATCCAGCCAATCTTGTGATGAGCGTTGTTCTCATACAAATCGGGGGTCTGGCTGTTGTAGATGATTCCAATAAGCAATCCCACTGCGTTGCATACCAAGAAAAGGAATTGCGACGGCAATGCGAAACGGGATCGTGCGACGCTGAACATGACCGCTGTTATTGTGAGTGTTAGTTTTCGATGCCTTTGTGGAGGATAGGTTAGAATGGGCTATACCTGTTGGCAGAATGAAGCACCAGGCGAGAATCATCAGACCGATGTGAACGGCAATCGCGGTGCCGTGTTTCCCATACGCGAAGTAGCTCATGGGGGAATCGTCATTTGCCTCTGTAGACGATTCCTGGGTGGACTCGCTGTGACTCATGTCCATACCCATGTCCATATCCATCGCTTCATCATCTCCGTGGGGAAGCGCATTCGCAACGGAGGCTAGAAGTAAAGCTGCCGCAAATGCGGCACGGGAAGCTCGCTGCCACATGAGGGGGGAGCTTCTATCTTATTACGGACGGGAGATCCAACAAAGAAAAGGGAAGTATATCTCTTCAACGCGCGACAAATTGGAGTCAAGTGCGAGCAGGAGAGACGACTAAGAGATCAAGTCAACTCCCAGCTCCACTTGTCGCAAGCAAGGTGGCAGAAGAAATTTGTACGGAGGAAGCTGGGATGCGGATGGGCGCGGCTACCACCTGGCGGAGGGCAGTACGTGGGAATACGTCGGGGGGACAGACAAGTTGGTAGGGCTGAAGTATGGAAGCAACGGACGGTTGTGGAAGGGAAGGGAGGGCAGGAAGTATAAGTATAAGAATGGGCGAAGAATCCAAGGAAACCCAACCGACTAACGGTGGACCATACAGGTAGGTAGAGAGACGAGACGGAAGGCTGAAGACCGGGAGGATTGCCAGAGAGGGTCGCGCGAGACTTTTTATTTAATCATTACTCATGACTTAAATTTTTCCTTTTCCATCCGCGCCTTGTGGTCGCAGCTCTCCTTCCTTCGGAGCTGGCGGGGATAGGATGCAACAAGACCGAGAGGCCGTGGAAACAAGCGATCCTGCTGGAGCTCCCCAAAGCTCCGTGTGCCGAAAGTGGAGTTACTCACTGGCACCCTCGCGCTAGCAGGGAAATGGAAAATGGAAAAGAGAAAAAATAAAAAAAAAGTAATAGGGCCTCCCAGGAGTGACGGTGTTCACCTCCCCAGTCTGGTTTCTGATCTGACTGCTGCTTTGTTTGCTTGACCTCTATCTCCTCTTTTTCTTTTAATTTCTTTTTTTGCACAGAACAAGGGTAATGCTTATTCCCAAGATACTCTTGGATTCCATGTTGAGGCTATGCCCATGATATAGCTCGATCCTTCACAGCTTTCATCGTCATCATGAGGTGTCTTGCTGAGAACGCTGGTACTACCACTCATGCCTCCCGAAGTCATCCAGCGATGGAGCCGATCATTCTTTTTGGACTAATCATGGCCTCCTTTGCCTGGAACTTTATTTCCTCTTCCATTCAAAAAATGTTATTTTTCTTTTCCATTCTATTACCCACTTACACTTTTCTCGGGTCTTTTCGCCTGTCAGCCAATCCCTCCCTTCCATCTTACTTCCCTTCCAACATCATCCCTACTATTCAATCCGTATACATCTCTTACTACTTGTAGCAAAGCCCCCTCGGATCACGAGCTCTCAGCCTCTGACTCACGATGCATCTTGCTGGGGTTTGAACCGTCTTCAGAATCAAAGCTTATTGTGTGGAAATGGAACTAGTACCTAGTAATGGGAACAAGAGAAGTGCACTCATGTTGTCTCTTCAAATTCATATGAACCAAATTTCAACAAAGCCGAAGAGGGGCACGAGAAGAAGAGCCTAGGAAAAGGGAAATCCAAAGGAAAAAGAAGAAAGTAAAAAGAAAATTACTCCTCTTGGCAGGATTGGGTTATCGGTCTTTCGGAAGCCCGGAGCGACCGGGAGAGATACTCGACTTCCAGGTCACGGTGCGCTGACGCGCCATGAGAAATGACCTCATCCCAAGGTACCAGACTTTTAGCGTATGGCCTAGAGCGCACCAGTGGATGCTCCCTTCTTGTTCTCCATCCGCTTCGGGATCCTGTTCGCCTGTTTTCGGGCCTTTTTCTTTCTGCTTCTGCTTCATGGCCCCCTTCGCGGATATATTACTAATGCCGCGGGACAGCAGAACTTTCTTGTGATGCCAGAATCACAAAGAAGGGTCATCAAGCCCAGGTTCGCACTATTGGTGAAAAGGGTCAGCAAGGCTGCAAGTCTATGGAACTACTATGCCGGTCCACCTTCATCTGCGTGTCTGGCAGTGGCCTGTACGCCGTTTGGCTCCGATCTCGTCTCCACGCCGTCCTCTGTAATCAGTACTAGTATGCCAGGACGCTCATGCCATGTATCTATCTATCCCTTTCTGTCCGTCTGACAGCGCCCCCAGAAGGCGCAGCAGTCATTCGATCGCGGGGGATGTAAACAGAAGTCCAGAATGCAGGGATCCTGATACGCCCAATTTCTTAGGTCCCGCCTTCCCGCGACTTGTAAGATGGTGCGCAACAAGCCTACAAAGCGTTTAGTACGTGACACACAGTGAGAGATAGATCTCTCTGTCTCGGCGGCTATTCGAGCTTGTGAAGAGCGAACCGCCAGGGGCTGTTGTTTAGGATAGATTGTGTCAAATCCGGTGTATTCAAAATCTATTGGATTTCGCGACATCACCAGAGGACAGTCATGCATCCAGTTTCATCTCCCCTTACATCGGCGGCAGAAAAGAGTTGGTGGGGACTGTTGAAAGGGAGGATGCCATAGTGTGTTATGTTGGTCCATAGTGCGGAGCGATCTATCACCAGCCCCGACTACCATGTACCAACTACATATGCAACGGACCGCGAACGAGCAAGCAGCACGGGCACACTTTGACATGATGGCTGGCTTATTGCAAGCTGTGAATTGGAGGGGACTTGGGACGGAGAGCTGCTAAAGCAGGAAGTATCCTCCGCGACCAAAGGGCGAGCTGAAGTCAAGACCTACTGTACTAACTAATATAACCCCTCTTTCTGCAGAGGTCGATTGATGCCATCTACGGTGCAAGCTGTCTCTCGCCCTACGGACTACTACTTTGGACAATTCCGCTCCAATTAGTGTTAGTTCCAACTACATGAGCAGAGAGTAGTTGCAGTGGATGTAGGAGACAGTGCCGTGCCTAAAGATGGATGGAAAGCTGTCCAGCCCTGTTGAACAGTGGCCCAGCTTGAATGTACCCAACTGGCCCATGACTTTATCTCCAGGTTCTGGTGGGCTGATCGTCGACTCAGGCGCATGCCAGTGTAGCGTGACGTTGTGATGCAGGCGGTTGCACTAAAAGTCGGTGCTACAAGCGAGGAGAGCGGTGCATGCCATGGAGTCCATGGACAGGTACAGACCGCGGATGTGCTGGCGCCGACCGGCCTTTTAGTAGGGTTGGCGACGATCGCATCTACACAACACAAACAGGTTCGACTGACAAGCGACCATGAACCAACTACGAGAGAGATGTTCATCTAGCACGACGATTGTGCAACAGGAGTGTAACCAACACAGCCGCCAAATATGAGTCTCAAAGTACTCAATACAATAGTACTCGATCTTAATCCTTATATCGAGCTACTTCGTGTATCTATGTTTGTTCAGTAGGCAGGCCGCAGACCACCAACAAGCGTCGATCTCTGCCGGCTTTAGTGGCATCTTTTAGTGGCATCCCTCTTCCCTCGGGAGCAAACCCCACCCGGCGGGCCTCGCACGTTGGGCTTTTTGCTAGTGATTGTTAGCCCTGTCCGTGCCCGTGTAATGATTCTGCCAGTATCTATCGCCCTTTTGCTCCCCTTCTGACAACCCAACGACGATCGCGGCTTGGCATCACCGGGCGAGAATCTCCATCCGCATCCGCGCTCTTCCGTGCTGTATGAACTGCCCGGGCGGCATAAACACCGTCCATGCGCTTCTCGTCACCTTTTCTTACATCCACGCACTTCCCGTCTACAGACACTCCTGTCCTTCCCGGAGATCTCTCGCATTAAATCATTCAATCATTGTCGAGCCTCTTTCTCTAGTTAAGTTTTACAAGTATATTATCCACTTTTTTTTCTCTTTGACCGTTTTCAGGCCTGGCTGGCCCTTTCCCACCGCACCCGTACTTATGCATCGTATGACCAGCACTGACTCATCGCTCATGACGCGACGCTCGTCGTGAGAAAGAAAGATCGGATACATGTTGCGGTCATGTCGTTGACGTCATGGCATGATTCCTCCAGGCAGCTTGATAGAAGTAAAATCCACAACATTGTTACAATTGTCCGTGAGGATGAGAATGAAGATGAATGTTACTATTGTCCTTTCGTGAATGCCACTGTCCTGGTGAGTCTATCTGCCAACACGATCAGACTGCTACGCAGCAATCATTACCATATTGGACTGCTGGACATCCGTGCTGTCAAGCCGACACACAAACCTAATGGGACCCGCCATAAAAATTAGGCCTGATAAGATCGACCCGATCCCATGACCTCGAGTTCGGCACATCCGGCTCAATCGGCTTACTTTACACTCTTCAGGTTTTCCTCCCTGTGTCTGGCGGCATTTGCACGAAGGCTGCCGCGTTTCAATCTCCGTCATCGATGGGAGGCCTAGACTACAACTGTCATCTTGACATGTCGCCATTCAGGGTTTACCAGTCTTACATATGGCGTTCAGCTTACAGGTCATCGCATGTGTAGTCCTCAGGTAGTACTAGTTAGTGGTTGAACGGACCATTTCCGATGCATCGCCCAATCAATTCCCTGATCAGGCTCATAAACTCGGAGACTTTTCCTTCCATGTGGATTCCACCGCAACTTTGGTCGAAGTAGTTCGATTGGCGAAAATTTTTGATATTGGGCAAGGGTACGCAAAACAGCCGGCGGATGCCGCCCGCAGAGCTCATTTTTTCTAAGCGGAGACAAACCATGGCTCAGCACTTGACTATACTAGGCAGGCCATAATCTCCGTGCCGCTAATTCCGGCTTCACTCCGATGGTGGTGCCGCTTTAACCGGTTGGCCTGGTTGGTGAGAATGTTCAGGTACTCCCTTTATCATTCTGGTTTTTCTGTGATTCGCTCGTGGACTGTCACACTAGCTGGTACAGTTCATTAAGCGACACCGAGGACAACTATAACGGCCAGCTCTTCTCTAGTAGGTTCGACGGCTATCGACTAGATGGTCCGATTAATTATCGTTGATTAATCTGGCAGGGCATAGGGGTTCTAGCTCTCAGTGTGGCACAGAAGCACTCACTTCGGTTCAGACATGCCCTCTTCTTATACATTCCCATATGCTAGGGAACTACTACCCCAGATTCTTTGCTCGTTAAGGACCGTATCGAATATCATTGGCTTCTTAACTATGCCAATTTCCATAGCTACTTCAGCTTACATGATCTCAAGTGTCGTCTCGCTTCATCTTAGTCTGACAAGGTATAATTCTTGATATCAAACTACACCTTAGCCAGAGTATTTTCATCGAGCCTTCTTCATCCATTCATCTCGTTCAGTTTAACTTGCCGAAGAATGTGCAAAGCGCAGTATACGTAAGGTCAAGTGATTGCCAACCACCCCCCTTGCATCCAGATGTCAGTCATATACTGTGTGTTCTACCTAACCTACCGCAAGCATAGCCCTCAAAGTAGGTAAGTGTGACCATCAGTCACCGCAACATGCCGCAAAAACAGGGAGGGTGACTGCGGGGAGATACAAACCAACCCTACCAGTCTGAAACGAGACATGGATTATGTCCTGCAGTAGTCACAAGTTTACGAACCCCTATCACAAGACAGCTTTTCGCTACATTCTACATTGCTTGTCTGAATAACTAGCTCACGCGACATAAAGACAACTACATCATGCCTACTAACAATAAGGATACCCCCGAAAATCGGCGCCCGGAATGGCCATCCAGGCACAAAGTACCTTGCTACTTTGTACACAGATGATCATCACTGATCCAAGCGAGACGGACCAATCGCTTATACACACAGCACCAATAACATCTACTAGACAGATGCTAGATGCTTCTCCTGTACCGCGCCTACTGCGATCAACACTACTTAGCCCTATTAGGTCCAATCGAGCGGGTAATCCCGAACGCAAGTGACTACACAGTAGTCTATCACGTCGGAGCTCGGATGTTCGGGTTTTGAGGAGGCTAGCTTCTGCTTGCTTTTCTTTCTGTAGTTATTGCTTTGTTGATCGTTGGTCAATAGATAGATCCCCTGCTACGCTGTCTCTGGAATTATATCCCACTCCTTATGATTGAAGGGGCCTTCAGGGTGATCTGGCCATTGTTCAGTCAAGCAAATGGCCAGGTTATGCATTTAAGTAAAGCACCCATGCGAGATACTACGTATCCTGTAGCTACTATACAAAGCTTACATTGGATAGGATACCTTTTCCATATAGCCATTGAAGGGCCAACTGGCAAGCAGATATCAACTAACCAACAAACAACTCATTAGTTAATGCACAACTGATGCATGTGCTAGCTAGCTAGCTACTTCCCTAGCCAGCCTTACACCGATAGCTCTAAGCCTTATGAAAACCCCTATGATACTTCTTTCTCTAACCCCTTTCCTTTGTCTCAGTTTCTTTTTCTTCTTGCTTTCCTCATCCTTTTTTTTGTCTGTTTCTATATGCCTTCTCATCCCTTAATGCATGTAGCCATGCCTTTCCACCGAGAGGAAGAGGGTGTTCTATGGAGTACTAAGCTATGTACCTCTCTGAGAATGAGGGGTAAGGGTATTACCTAACACGGATAGATGCTTCAAATGTACCAAATACTAAGTAACTATTGACTAACTATGCTTAGTCCTGAATTGTGTACGCACCTGTACCCTTGTAGTCTGTAGTCTGCCTCTTTACAACCCGTTTGTTGGCTGGATAGTCCGTGAAACATGTCGATACAATAGCATACATATATATAATCTTCAGAGTCTGAACGAGAGGTATTTTGTGTGTTGCTGAGCTCATTGAGCGCAGTTTAAGTTGTCTTAGTATGTTTGAAGGGAAGGGTAACTTGTATAAGTATAAAAAGTGAGTGGTGGTTCTGAGTAGCGTGGGCTGTTGTGTATATGCTCTAGATAGAATATACGTGCAGTTATATCTGTAAGCGAGACAAAATTATGTTAGAAATTTGCGATTAGTGGAAAAGTTCGTCTCGTTGTGGTTGGTCATTCTGCTTCAGGCTCTTAAGTACGCGATTGAGATTAGTGCTTTAGTGATGTGTTGTAGTTAGAATGAAGTGCAAGAAAACGTCTCGAATGGAACAATTATATATGAGTTGAAACATATCTATGCAGCAGTAAGTCACTATAATTATTACCATTCTACGCAATAACCTGAAGAACAACTTCTTCATGAATAGGTCCCATCTCTATACATACACCCGGAACAACTTCCCCCCGAACCCGACATCTGGAGTAGTAAAGTTGAAAATAGCCCCAAACCCATAATCACATGACCAGCACCCGTCCATCCCCCATCCCAACAAGGCTTAGCGCCCCCATCAAGCGAGATGGTCCGAGCCCGCATCACGGAAACCGGAAAGACACACAAACGGAATTTCGACCCTAACCTTTTCGTTGAATCCCCGTCCCCCTTCAACGCCCAGCGACGACAAACCGCCTGCCAAACACCGTCTCATCCCCAGGTTTCTCTCGCCTCAGATTCAAGATGACTCACGAGTCCGTTTGGTACAGCCGGCCCCGCAAGTAAGTTGAAATCCGTGCCGTTGAAATTTGATATCTATATGTGTGTATGGTTGCTAATTGATCTGTGATGGATAGGTTCGGCAAGGGTTCCCGTTCTTGGTGCGTATTCTGCGAATTTTTCCTGAGGAAATCATGAGTTTTGGGAATGGGGGAGTTTCGGAGAGGAGAGAAATGAACCGAATGGAGGACACATACGAAACTGTGAAAGGAAGTTATGTGCTGATTCGTGTGTTGGAATAATACAGCCGTGTCTGCTCCCACCGCGCCGGTCTGATCCGCAAGTACGGGGTATGGATATCCACTGAAATCAACGCGATGCGAAATATTGGGGTGCAGGAACAATGGCTAACTGGCTTGTGTACAGATGAACATCTGCCGTCAGTGCTTCCGTGAGAAGTCCTCTGACATCGGTTTCCACAAGGTTGGTTTCACCATCACCCACATGCATATTCCAGCACCAGTACCACAATCACATTACATCCGAAATGGCATTGGCATGGCGAGGAGGATACCGAAAGAGAAAGAGATGGGATTCGCGACAACGAAAAAGAATGAGTACCAGAGACGGAATGAAATGGAATGAAATGCCACTACGACTTCGACAGCCAAAACCACAACCACGCCACACAAACCAGACCAAGAGAAACCTAACTAACACACCATTTCACCCAAACAGTACCGTTAAATCGAATCTTCTCCATCCCCCATCATCATCGATCCCAATTTTCCGTTATTCACGACGATGATTCGTTAAAAACGTGCTCGTGGCGCTTTCGATTCTCTCTTTCACATACACCACCCAATATCAAATAAACCAACGATCCCCCACAATTCCATGTCGGGGATTAGCGGAGGAAGAAGAAATACAGGGGGGATAACGGTAGCCTCTTCTATTCTTTTACCAGTCTGTGTGTGTGCGTGTGTGTCTGTGAAATCGAAAACGCAAATGAAATCCGAAACCCGGGCTTGATTTTCAATGGAATGAAATAAAATGGTGTTTTTCTTATTTGTTCATGGTGGAATTTCCTTTAATTTTTATAGGTGTGATTGAGGAAGAGATGGGATTTGAGGGTTAGAGACGAGAGGGGGTGGGCTTAGGTTGTTGGCTGGTGTGGACGGTATTTCCTATTGAATTGAGGATCTCTTGACAATCACCGATTCTTCCCCCCGGCTTGTCCTGTGAGAGGTAGGGGTGCTGCTTGCTGGAGACCGTATCATTCGTATGGGCTGGTCATGCATGTCTTTTGGGATCGTGCGGCTCTGCTCTGGTTGATACTTCCGGCTTATTGAAGGATGTAGTCAGTGGGGTTTGGGTCTAGTCATGGGACTGTCCTCTGGTTGATAGTTCCTGTAGGACCTGCGTAGTGTAGATGACTGACTGGGAGTAAGCATATCATGAGTCACATAAAAACATCCTATGTCTGTCGAGTGTCTAGGTGTCAATCAATATCAAGAAGTAAATGAAACTCATACTGCCTGTATTCGCCATCCATATCTAGCTAGGCAACTCAGCCATGTATACGCACTCCTGCAACCTTAGCCCCTTCTACTATACTAGTTAGTCTAACGCACACGGCGCAGACAAACCCGCTATATCTAAGCGACTGAGCTATAAAGCAAGCAAAGAAAAGAAACGCAACCCAACTTCACAACAGCAGTCTTGCATCCAGCCACAGCTCTCCTACATGAACATACATGCAACCAACCAATCAAACAATAATAATACAACTCCTAGCCGTGGACTCCGAGTCGCTGAAGACAAACCGAATGCGAAAAGATGAGGCAGCCGCCAGAGTACAATGTGATGTGATGATGTGGTGTGATGGTACACGATAGGTAGCTAGCTTCTATTGCGGCGCAGAAGCCAGCGATCGAAGGTTGTAGAACAGGAGATAGGCGTCAGCGTTGAGGACTTCTGCCTCGGTGACGGCGGTGACTTTGTCGTCGTTGAAGAGTACCCACTGAGAAGTTGGGGTTAGAAACGGCTGTTAAAAGGAGTATGACTGAGGGAGGTCAAGAACTCACATCATCGCCTTGGCGGCAGTAGACGTAGTAATGCCCCGCATCGAGCTTGCCTTGATGTACTACGGCAGATGAGAGGTCATATACGAATCTGGACCTGTCAACTTTGGCCTGCGGGCAGGTTGTATAAGGGAGCATGTTGATCGATAGTGGAAAGTCGATTTTGCCTTCTAGCTTCTCCGAGACGGAAAAGGTGTGTTCAAAGCGCTGTATTGGGTAAGTCCGTGTCTGGTCGTAGGGAATTTGCGCAGGAACATACCTTTAGCTGCATGCACAGAATGGCGGGTAATTTCCGAATGCGCAGTTGTTTGGTGGCTTTCTGTGGTGTTCCGCCGCAGTGACTGCAGTTGTACACGCCTGCCATTAGTTTCTCCGGAGACGTGTAGCTCTCCAGGCATCCGCTCAGGGTAGGCGTCGACGAAACTCCTGTGCCACCCATGGCGCGTTTCTTCGCCTGCACTTGAACATCGAGACTGAGATCCACCATAGGGTCATCCGTTCGTGTGACGTTGCCACACTTGTCGCAAGTCACGCTGCTTCGAAGCTTGCCGTAAAAGGTTTTGTGAAAGAAGCAAGGACAACCCTTTTCATGGCCTTCTCGGTGATTCTCGGTACTAAGGTGAAGCTTGTCGACGAGAAATTGATAATACTCGTGTGCGTCTTGTTGTTGATAACCTGCTAATGTCTGAATGATGGCAATTAGCACCACTTGTCAGAGATAAAATGTCCGTGGTAACATACAGAACTTGCACGCCATGACGCTAAAAGAAGATTGAGAGCTGCGAACCCTTCCGGTTTGTCGCTGCTGTTGAAATCCGCGAAGGCCTCCGCAACTGCACATCCTACGCAGTCAGAAGCAGTGCAGTCGTGGGGCTGATGACCGTTCCCAAGGAAATAAGTGTTCAGTATTGGGTCATGCAGGAGGGTTTGAAGGATGACATTGAGATAACAGGTTTGCCCCAGGTTGAACAAGCCCCTGACACCTTGCTTAGCGCAAGGACGCTTGCTGGCATTGCTCCGAATATAAAGCTCGTCCGCAGAGCTATCGCTGAAGCGACGTTTCTTGGCGACTTTTTCGTGTTAGTGCTATAACAAACTAGAGAGTAGGTCAAATGCTAACCTTGAAGAGCGCTTTCTGTTGTTGAGCACCGAAGTCGTTCGAGGCCGTGGTCATAGACAAAATCTCCACAAGCCTGGCAGTATACTGTGCGGGCTCGCGAATCCATGTCTCGAACATTGTTAGTAAAATCGATAGGAAAAGGCAAGAATCACCTACAGAATTGATGACTAGTCTTCTCGGTATGGGCTTTCCGGCCGCCCATCGGCATCGTTTCACCGCATGTCAAGCAAGTGTACTTTGGTTTCAGAAAATCCTTGGATTTGAGACGACCGTTCTGCTTTGATGACTCCATCGAACGCTGGAGATGGCCTAATGAATTATGCGCTTTGATAAAAGCGTTCTTGAACTGCTCTGCAGTGCTCACATCCTGCCCCATTTGCGTGGCCAGATGCTCTGTTACCGGATCAGTAAAGGGGCAAAAAGGTCCGGGAAACAGTTCTGCGCATGAGTTTCACATACCACAGCCATATTCGGCCTCAGAAAGTAATGATATCGAGAGTACACTAGCCATTGTGTGGGGATACTTATGAATGAACGTGGTGAAACAAGTGTCACAGCTCGCACGTGAAGCCTATCCTGGCTCAGCCTAGAGTGAGGCTCCCAGTCGAGATGGGTGAAGGAGTGTGTTAAGAGTAGTACAGTTAGTCTCTCAATGTAGAGAGAGGGAGATGATAAGGATATTCAGCAGGTCAACTGCAGATCAAGTAGGAATCCATGGATCGGACGGACTACCCTGGAGGACTCTGCAGGCATGAATCATATCAGCTCTGTATGCTAGGGGACGCCAGGTCCTCCAATGGGGATGAAGAGAGAGAAATGCACCTTCACAAGACGTGCCGATAGCAAAGCCACCGAAGCAGTGGAATGTCGAGAGCGGGCAGCAGTCACTCGAGTGTTTCTCCGCAGCCACCGGGTGTTCCGCAGTTCAAATCGGGATCGGAGATGGTCACAGCGGGATGCCCCCTCGAGTCACTCGGTCCCTCGCTGTCTTCTTGTTCAGGACCGTGCAAGGACAGCCCCAGTGAAACAGACAGACAGAGACCAAAATGATACAATACACAGGTAGATCAATTATTTATTCGGATAGAGATCGTCCCGTGAAGACAGGCACTGTGAGCGCTGGATGCAAGACAGATCTTTTTTTCGCCAGGGTCGACCGCGGCTCCGGGCGATAAGAAACCGGGACTGCATTTGATCCGAGATCGTTGCTTTGGCATCTTTGATTTCCTTACTTGGTGTGCTTTCCGGGGTATTTTTTATTTTTACTTTTTTTGCATTCATTATGTCCCTCGACATATCACCCAACATTATATACACTGGCAAACTATGGCCGTGCGCCTCCAAATATCAAGATGGGGCATCTGATACTTGATGATGTCTTTCCCCATTGACCCCGGGGTGGGTCATTCTGGGGACGGGCGATGGTCCTACAACGCTTATTCGAGCCGCAAGGACACCCACTTTCAACTATATTTTGCATTCATCATTATGCGTAATGCTATCATACGTGACCAGATTTTCTCCGGGCTCTGAAATAGTTATGGGCACTAGACTGGAGATATCCAGTCGACCCTAACTCTACCACCTGGGCTAGCTAGAACTTCCCTCAGAAAGATCCGAGCCGCTGAGATCGGACAGGCCGCTCGGCAGGCTTCGTGTTACGGAATGCTATCGTCGCCGTAGGTTCTTTCAGGAACGGGGTTCCTCTCAAGGTTTGGGGGCGCGTTGCGAATTGCAGGGATTCTCTACGGATTGCCAATAGCAGACCGTTCCCTTCGCGCAAGTCTTTGTGCCTCTCCATGCTCAACCGTCTGCGCCCTGTTGAAAATTTTTACCATCCGGGTTCCTGCCTTCACCGCAATCCTCGTCCGCGGGGCAATGCGCTTGGACGGGCGCCGCGATTGGCGCCCCGTGTCGCATACCGACTGCTTGTCGAACCACGCGTGGATCCTCTGGTGGTGCCACGCGACGGGGCCGGGATTCTGGCCGAAGGCTTGGAGGGAACGGTGCTCGAAGGATGTTCGATGAAGGAAGTGTCCGTAGTCCTAAGTGCGTCGTGTTGTTAGTATGAGGAAAGCAATCAACACCTAGTCCGTGGAGTAATTAAGACTCACATGAATGTCATCTCCGCTTCAGTGGTCGCTTTCAGCTGTTCTGCTTCGGCTTCTACTCGTGCTATTAGTATTGGATTTCCCTCTTACGCAGCTGCGTTCATACCATTCTGTGCCTCTGCTTGCTTGGCTCTCCGGAAAGACTCTGGAATGGGCGCCTGTATTCGATCGTCAGCTTAGGAGGGAAGACAGCCATTATTCTCAGTCGCAATTACCTCCGGAAAGTCCACACAGAACGCGTTCATGTTCAATCCATAGAGAAAACTGGCAAAGCTCTCACTGAACCGGGTCAAACTTTCGTGCATCAGCTGAAGGTGCATGAAGTTGGCCTCGAGATCAGCCATGGAGTCTGCAAGCTCTGCAAACTGGGGTTCCAAGGCATTGATGGCAGGCTGGGTGTAGCCTGCCATACCAATACTGCTGCCATAGCCATGAGCTTCGCGGATCGACGACCGGGAACCGGGTCTTAGGGGAGTCGTGGGTCGCGACGAGGGCCGTGGGCGAGACGATGAGCGGGCAAAAGCATCCATGACGATTCAGAGACTGTGCACCCAAATTGAAGGCTGTAATCAACCGGTTGAGAGACACTGATGAGACAGAATAGGAATAAGCACGGTATAGAAGAAAAGCTGTCACAAATATGCGACTTGACGCAGTTATGTTTCAAGTTGTATGAAGGGGAGTTGCGAAAGATTGGGTTTGTTGATGTTGATCCCCGCTTTAGGCAAGGCCGAGTCACTGGACCCTCCTTTTCCCTGCCTCAGGTGTCTGCAGATTTGCTGCCTGGGGGCGCCACAGCGACCCAAAATGGTCCAATCAGCCTATAATTAGGATTACTTAGTTCTTCCGTCTAGTCCGGAGGGACCCCTGGTGTGATTATCATCATTGGATTGCGGACTGGCAAAAATAAGAGACTTGGCAATCCATCCTGTTCGCTTGCTTTATCTTCCTCCCCATTATTGCCGCATCCAACCGCTGTGAGTTCCCCTTAGTCTCCTGCAGCTGAACCTTGAATCTGTGAAGGTTCCAAGCGAACTGCACCGTCCGCCTTCTCTTCGCCTCCTTCCCTCTCGCCTTCCTTCCCCGCATTGTTCCCGGCTGGAAATTTAGGCTCGGATCTTCGTCTCTCATTTTACTCACGAGGACACCAGGAAAAGACAGCCGGCATCTCTGCTTTTGGGATTTGACTCGTCCTTCCCCAATCGCCTTCTGGCCCTCACGAACAAGCACATGCATGCTTGTTCCCTCCTGCGCCGCCGTCTACCTCCATCCTCGGCCAATTCCATCAAGTTCGCGTCGGGCAGACTCTTGCATTCAGGACGTGCACAGATCTTCCCACCGCGGTGCTCTAATCAAAGTCCTCTGATTTGGTCTCGAGCCTTCAGACGACCCTTCTCCACTTCGCCGTTGTCTCAACCTTACAAACCGAGGGAAGCTGCGTCGTTCTGGTCAGTCACATTCACTCTACTTCTTATCGGAGCAGGAGCCTGGCTGCAGGATAAATACCGCAAGTCGGAAGGTGATATTCCTACGATTTCCGACACTCTCGAACCTTTGCAAGAATCGGAAGTACCCTTTCTCGGCGTCATCGAAACCCTCAAGACAATGCCTATGGATTTACCACCCGGGACCGTGGGGAATCTCACACCAGAGCAGGAAGCCAAGCTACAAGAGCTTTGGATCCTGCTGCTGAAGGTCTGTGGTGTCAATCTGGATGCTGTTGAACAGATTCAGCAGCAGAACGGCGACGCTGCTGCTGCAAGCCAACCCCAAGATAAGAAGAAACAGTCCAAACGGAGCAGGTTTGGTCTTTTCGGGCGGAGCAACACGGATGAGGAGGAAGAGAGCGCTAGCGACAAGGGTACCAACGGGATCGCGTCGAGTCTCGCTTCTATCAGCATTGCCGACGGAGATGACAAGTATGGCCAGTCAAAGGAGTTCCAGCAGGCGCTTGTGGATATGAAGCCTGAGGAGATCCGCGTGACTCTCTGGAACATGGTCAAGCATGACAACCCCGATTCTCTGCTCTTGCGCTTCCTGCGCGCGCGAAAGTGGGACGTCAAGAAGGCTCTGGTCATGTTGATCTCTACGCTTCGCTGGAGACTGCTGGACGTGAAGTTGGATGAGGATATCATGCAGAACGGCGAGCAAAGTGCTCTGAAGAAATCCCAGAGTTCTGATCCCGCCGAGAAGAAGGCCGGTGAAGACTTCCTGTTGCAGATGCGCATGGGCAAGAGTTTCCTCCATGGTGTGGACAAGCTTGGCCGGCCGATCTGCGTCGTCAGAGTGCGCTTGCACAAGGCCGCCGACCAGGAGACAGAAGCTTTGGACCGGTTCACTGTGTACACCATTGAGACCGCTCGGATGATGCTTGCACCTCCAGTCGAAACAGCTGTGAGTATACAATCTCACGGTAAGAGTATCATGCACTAACGGGTAACAGTGTGTTGTCTTCGATATGACCGACTTCTCCCTGGCAAACATGGTAAGCACATCTGTCAACGGCCAACAGATTCCATCTCTGACATATTATAGGACTATCATCCGGTGAAGTATATGATCAAGTGCTTCGAAGCCAACTACCCGGAGTGTCTGGGAGTTGTTCTGATTCACAAGGCTCCTTGGATTTTCTCAGGTTAGTTTTTCAATTTTGGTATCCAAGGGAACTCCCCTAACCTCGGTTGCAGGTATCTGGAATATCATTAAGGGCTGGCTCGACCCTGTGGTCGCCTCTAAGATCCAGTTCACCAAGAATGTCCAGGATCTGGAGAAGTTCATTCCCAAAGATCGCATTATGAAAGAGCTTGAAGGTGACGAGAACTGGGCTTACAAGTATGTCGAGCCTCAACCCGACGAGAACAAGCTTCAGGAGGACACAGCCAAACGGGACGAAATGGTGGCCGAGAGACAGCAGCTGGCGCAGGAGCTTCAAGGCGCCACCATCGAGTGGATCTCTTCGACAATGAAGAAGGACGAGAGCGCCGTCAAGGCGGCGGTAGACAAGAGAAAGGACCTGATCGAGCGATTAAGGGTCCAATATTGGCAGCTTGACCCATACGTTCGGGCCACCTCCTTGTACGATAGACTAGATGTCATCCAAGGTGAGGGTAAGATCGAGTTCTATCCCACGAAGAGCAAGGTCGAGGGAAACGCACTTAACGAGGAGAAGGCCGAGTAATGCGCTCCGGGCCTTGGTATGAGGATAGACTGTTAGATTGTGTTGATAGAGGACTACTTGTCATAATAACGCTCACTTCGTGAGAGCATGTACATACAGCTTCTACCTGTCTGTCATGGAACATGTATACTTGGATTGCGGTTTTCGTTGGTAATTTCAAATGGAGCACTGGATTTTCTCTTGATAGACGTATTCCAAGACGTATTCCACAGAAGTTGACCATCATCTTCTGTATCATAGTTTACAGTGTGTGCCCTACGAATATTCCAATTGTGAAAGTAGAACTGATAATAATAGCACATGGTATGTAAATAGACGCAGCC